TCTCTTTATTTTGCTTTTATCAGTTTTGTCGAAGGTCTTATTAGTAAAACAAAATTTATTACCATTATTACATTGTTTAAATGGAATATTTTAATTGATTTATATTATCGTTGTTAATGAATGAAAATAATTTACTATTAAAGTTAAGACGAAACCTCTCATCATTCAATGTATTCATATAAGTGTGTAGGGTCCATCGTTGTAGTGAGAGGAGCTTCAACAGTGACTGGGACTTGCGACCCAGGTGTAAGTTTAAGGGACTCCTATCTAACGCGTTAAACGCTCACCTCCACTGTCCAAGCTCCTCTCTCTACTTAACCAAATTTGAAACGAACCTACTAGGGCTGCCTTCAAAGTACGCTCCTGAATGAATTGTTATTATTTCTGGACAAGCCCAAGTCTTTTAGTAGGTTGTAGAGAGATTTAGCTGTTATACCTCTCGCTTCCACTTCTACCCCGTACAAATTTATAAAGCTATTCAATAAATATCTTAATAAACGTGGTTTTTAAATCCTTTGACGTTACTTTCTTTGATTTAGAGTTTTGTATGCTTACTACAAGTCTCGTTACTACATACGAGGCGTATTCTGTTTCGTAGTTAATAACGTACGTTAATAGTATAATATGTGAAGATTTATTATTAACGCTACGTATGTAGTGTGGTGAAAAATAATTGCGGTAAGCGTATAAATGCAGTTATTTACAACGTTAGACATAGGTCTCAACAAACAGTTACATGTATTTGAAATTTGAATGTTATATCAAATTGAAAAAACTAATACACTTTAAATGAAGTCGGTTGAAGGTCAACGAACTTTATGACGTCACAAACCGCTAAGTCAAATTCATCATAGGCGAATAAAAATACCAACAATGGAAAACTTAAAATAACTGTATTCAATACAGTAAATGTATTACTTCTTGGGGTATTATATTTTTACAAAGTGTTTATAAGAAATTTTATTATAATTACGCTTTAAGAATAAGTATTAGGGGAGAGTCGGATAAATCGTACCACTTTTCACTTTAACTCACATATTTCGACTATAACACGTCTTATAATAATTAATACATTTGTAAAATAAAGTTTCATATTTTAGCTTCCTAAGAAGAAGAGAACAGATCCTTGCGATTAGTCTAACGTTGTTAAATATGTTTTTTTATAGAGGCTTGCCATCGGTACGATTTAGCCGACTCGTCGTTTTAATCGTACCACTAGGTCTTTAAATCGTACCATGGGTGTTTAAGTCGTACCACTGAATGAAAGACATTAAAATTCTCAATCAAATTATTTATTTTTGACTGTTAGGTAAGTAATAAAACAACATTATTTATATCTTTTAGGTAATAGAAACATAATTTTTAACTCTTAGGTTATATAAAGGAACTATAAGCTTTCTCAGTAAAATAACATGATTATACTATGATAGTGAGGTCAATCAACATAACTAATAAAAATGAGACAAAAAAAAACAGTAAACTATATTAATAAAGTAACAGTTAACAAGAATGTTACTTGTAATATAATTATTGTGCATATTTCTTAATGGAAACAATCATGACAAATGTTTTCAAAAATTCGAAGTACACGTCTCATGTAGCCACCGCTTACAGCGAACGCATTGAATCCAATCAACTTTTGGACCCTTCTTATCGTAGTAAGAACAACTGCACTTTCGACATATATTTTCAAGATAATCATCGCTGTCATCATCATCATCTAGTTCTACAACAAGTGTCTCTCCTGAATCATCGCTACTGGTGATGGAATGAGATCGTTTCCTCTTATAACTTTTGTTTTTGGCCTTTGGTAGTACTTTCTATACGTACTTGCGGTAGTACTATAGGTACTTGCGGTTGGTAGTCGGGTAAATCGTACCAGTACAATTTAACCAACTGCAAGTGGTACGATTAAACCAACTAAGGCATTTCTAAAACAAAAGCAAATATCCGGCATAAACTCAAAACTTAGACATGCAACAAAAACCCCCAATAATCTAGTATACAATTGTGGAATAATAAAAAAAAACTGAATAACTATAGCTTACCTTGATTACGAGTTATCTCCTTACGAATGTACGACAATATTTATATTAATTCCTACAATAAATGTTTTTTTTTATTACGTACACAGTTGTTAACTCACGTTGATGTAAACTAGTGGGTGAAGAGGGATGGTACAGGGCCACGATTTGGCGTTGTCAATGTAAAAAAAATATTCATTAAATGGGAAATTAAGAGGTGGTACGATTTAAATGCTAGTACGATATAACCAACTCTCCCCTAATTAATGTCTTATATTTTAAATTTCACTTAGATGATTTTCGTAAAAAAATGTACTATTAAAGGTATGAAAATTGTTAGTTCAAAATGGATTAAATACATCTAGAACATTAGTAGCAATCATGTACTACTCGATTCTTAAATTTAAGTTTCCTTTCTTTAAAGAGAAAGAATCCATAAAGATACTTTTGTATAATGGCATTTTAGAAATACATATATGTAAAATAAACATCACACACACACTACCATGACTCACACACACACACACACACACACACACACACACACACACACACACACACACACACACACACACACACACATATATATATATATATATACAATACGTCAATCCGTGTAGATTCCTCAGTGTGTCAATATCTGTATTGTCACTGAATGTTAAACATAATGATATTTATAAATTATATTATAGTGTAGAAGTATAAATAATTAATTAATTATGGTCGAGTATCGATTATTGAGAGATATTGTATTAAATAATATTAATGAATAATTTTCTTCCCATTTGTATTGTCACAGTAAAATTTTATTATCTATAGTTCAAATACCTGATTACAGAAAATTACTTACATTATCTTATCTTTAAAAATATTTAGTTCCTTTGTAACTGATTTTTTTGAATTTTGAACAAGATCCATAAAAAATCTGTTTTTTATGAAACGTAAACTGTTTAAATACAATTGAAATAAATACCGGTTTTTCTATCCACTATTTTTTGTAACTATTTGTATTAAAAAAGCAATTTTCAACCGGTTTTAAGGGAAATTAAAAAAATACGTTTATCGTATTGTCAATAATTTACTGAAAACGTTAAAAAATATACTCGTGAAAAACTATTTTAACATAAAAAACCTGTTATATGAAAATAGAACAATCTAGAACCTTCTGTCATTACATCGTGAAACAGACCTTGTTTGAAAGTTACCTATGCAAAAAGAGAGTTATTTCTAACAATGTAATCATTAGAAAAATATTATATATGAATAATATTATGAAAGTAATAAAACTTAAAAATTCTTCAAAAATACACAATCTCGCTTCTCATTAAAAATGAAATTGACTATAGAAACCCATAATTTATCATTTTTTGCTGTCAGTTTTTAAACGAATTACTTTTACGTTTTTATTTCGTTGTTATATTCTTATTATTTATATCAATAACATTTTTTGACATCATAGTAACTTAATCATTGTTGCATCAACGAACTGCTTGTAACAATTCCGTTAAAATTAATCCAGCCGTTACATATATAACCCGAAAGTGTTAAACAGACAGACCAAAAAATTATAATGGATATAGATATATTTTACACATAAGATTCACGTATATTTAGTAAAAAGCTATTATTGTAATGGAAAAAAAGGACAAATTAATTTTGTTCATATATATATATATATACATATAAAAGTATCTATGTATATGTAAATTAATATATATACATATGTATGTATTAATTGAATTCACACTATCATGAAATTCGATCAACGCAAGTCAAGCATTAAGAAATCTCTCAAATGTTTTATTCAACGATCAAACATTGCTGTTTCACTTTATGAATGTTACATCTGAAAAGCTATCGCTGAAGTTACATTTAAATGTAATTACATATGCTACTATATACGTATGTCTTCTACCTGGCAATTTTCCCAGCTTTAGCCAGGGACTGCCTTACATGTTGTGAATAGTTTTGGCTAATTGTTTTTACGACCGGCCGCCTGCCTGACATCAACCCACTTTGGGAATGTATTAATCAGTGATGTCTAAATAGTCTTAGAAAGTATATATGACTCGGAAAAATCACATAGGTACTTGCCAGGGCCAGGATAGAACCCGCGCCCTCGTGTATGAGAGGCGGGCCTTTTAACCACTAGGCCACCATTGACCAAATGTATATAAAATTCTCATGTCTCGGTGATAGACAGAGAACTCCTCCTAAACATCTGGACCGATTTTGATTAAATTTTGTGACAATATTAAGTAGGTCTGAGAATCGGTCAAAATCTATTTTTCATACCCCTAAGTCATGAGGGTTCACCTTGTTCACCTTCAACTTTTTTATTTTTTTTTTCGGACAAAATTCATGTTTATATGTTTTTATAATGTAGTATTAAAATATTCACATAACCCAAAATTTTTACTTTTATATCACAAACCGCTATTTTTTTATACGGCAAAACAACTTTTGCCTGGTCAGCTAGTATATATGTATGTACATATAGAAGGGCTTCATTATATCGCCTTTACTTTCTGTTATAATGAATCCGAATGATTGATTATTCTTAGAAGTTGTTACATGAGTAATAATATATATTCAGATTCCAATTACTATACTTTACTACACTGTAACATAATATGTTTATACGTTCCCTAATTCAATGAAGAAATCGTAAACAATATAGCAAAAAAACAACATAAATTCTCTTCAATACATTATCTAAAAGGACTATTATTTAATTATACTTCAGTGATCTTACCACTAGTTTCATCTTTACACCAAACAGACAGTACCACGTTTTTCATTCACACACTCATATTAATACTATCTGACAAACTGCTAAACTGATAGTTTTTAGTTTTCCCATACAAACACGTAGTAAAATAACTGGAAGTCCTTAAACTGGTAGACAATAAAACCCCCATAAAATGTGCCCAATGTGAAATACATAAATGTTATCGCATTTATTTTGTTACAGAAATGGCGAATGTACGCGTATTAGTTTTAGTTGTATGCCAAATATTGTGTCTACCGAGGTTGTGTTATAGTAATGATGATAACCCTTTCCTGGATCTCGCGTCATCGTTCATACAGAATATGGCAAGCGACAGTGGCAAGGGAAATAATATGGATGGGTTGGCAGCCATAGGAAACATTGTGGGTAGTCTCATGCAAGGAGATAATGCTAAGAATTTGGGATCGTTATTCGGACAGGAGAATGGAGCTGGTGACGTACTTTCAGGTGAGATTTTGATTAATTTATCTTAAGATAAATCGTTAGATAAGTGCCGAGATGGTTTTGCGGTGTTTTAATATAAGACGTAATTGTTGCTGGAAAATATTAAGGCAATTCAATATAAGAGCATCAGTGAGAGATAATATATAGACGAATTTTTTATGATAAAGGAATTACAGAGACAGTATAAATTGTACTTATAAACTATTTTTTATGACAATAAAAACAAAACAGAAAAAAAACGATTGAACTCAGATTACGAGCCTCAATATCTCGAAAGTTGTAAAATCAAACAATAATTGGTTCAATACCTTCATTTTGTAATGTTTAAATTATAATTTAATTATTGATTTTAGAACACTTAAATTTAGCTTATTTCCTGAAACAGAAATTGCACCAAAAAAATCTATGTACGAGGGGAGGTCAATAAGTTCGCGGAATGAGCGGGAAGGGGGTTGAAATTTAACACGAAACTATTTTTCCTTTTCAATATAGTCTCCCTTAACCTTAATACATTTTTCGGATCTCACAAATAATTTATTAATACATTCGAAAAAAATTATTTATCTTGGCTATGAAAATAGGCCGAAATTGCGGACTTGACTTCTCAAATATTTTTCACCGCAGCTTTTTTTTCATTTTTGAAAACAAATAATAGTCGCTGGGGACTAAGTCTAGACTGTAAGGTGGGTGGTGTAGTTTTTCGAGTCCGCATCGGTGAATGGCAGCCGTCGCAACATGGCACGTGTGGACTGTTGCGTTGTCGTGCAAAAGGAGCACACTTTTTGACAGCTTTCCTCTTCTTTTTTCCTTGATAGCTTCTTTCAATCTATCTAATAAAGAAGCGTAGTACTGTCCCGTTATAGTCACACCACGATCTTTATAATTGATCAGCAAAATACCTTCTGTATTCCAAAAGACAGTCGCCATGATCTTTCCGGCCGATTGTGACACTTTAAACTTTTTTGGAGGAGCTGTGCCTTTTTTATGCCACTGTATCGATTCTTGCTTCGATTTAGGTTCATAGTGGTGAACCTAGGTTTCGTCACCAGTAAAAATCCGGTCCATAACTTCGTCCTTATTCTCTCCACAGAGCTTCAAAAACTGGCGAGAACACTCGACACGCTCGCTCTTTTGAAGTGGCGTGAGCATTCTTGGAACCCATCTTGCACTGACCTTAGTCATCCCAAGATGATGATGTAGGATATTTAAAATGCTTTTTTCAGATACTCTAACCATTGCTCCAAGCCGTTTCTTCTTCAACCGGGCATCTTCCAATATAATTTTTTCTACTTTTGCGACGATTTTCGGTGTGGTGGCCTCAATCGGTCGTCCGGAGCGGGGGTCATCTTCAATGGACTCTCTTCCTTGTTTAAAAAGTCCATGCCACTTGTAAACCATGGTTTTACCAGGGGCAGAGTCCGCGTAAACTGATAACAGCTCTTCAAAAATTATCTGAGCGGATTTTCCTTGCTTAGTGAGGAACTTAATAACGGCGCGGTGTTCAATTTTCTCCATACTCACTGACTTCTTCCCGATTCACTTGTTTGCAGGTCAACAACTCAAAAGTTAATGACCCGATTTGGTTCAAACTTGGTGCATATACTATTAATGAGGTGTTGAACAAGTTACTACCTGGACGAGTAAATCAACCCCCTCCATCCCCTCCATTCCGCGAACTTTTTGACCTCCCCTCGTATTTCTTTTGATTGTTGAATGAAACATTTGTACTCTTATAGGTCTTGGAAGTCTGTTTGCGGGCCAGGACGGTAAGATAGACCCAGCGGTCATAGGTTCTGTGGTCTCAATGTTCGCTTCCCAGATGGGTTCCAATCAGAACCAACGAAGGAAGAGAGATTCTGACACAAATGATATCAATTTGGACAGTATATTGAGCATGGCGTCGGGATTTCTTGGGAACAAAAACGCAGCGGGAATGCTGCCATTAGTTATGAACGCTATAAGCTCATTCTCCGAAGACGAAACCTCCAAAAGATCTGATTCTCACAAAGACCACGCGTCTTTTCTGCCACCATTCCTAGAAAAGGCCCATTTATATTGGGATATCTTCATAAATTCTGAACTAGGTAAGGCTGTGTGGGAGAAATCTGGTTTCCAGCGTGCTATGAAGTCGTTTATGGGTCCCGATGGTAAAGTAAGTTTTGAACTGATGTTCAAAAACTTCGAGAATCATTCGTTTAGGAGGCATTGGATCAAGGCCGTAGCGAAATACTTAACGGATATGGTGGTGCATGTCTCAAAACCAGAAGTTTACCAGAGGTAAGAGATAAAATAATAATATAAATACTTTTCTATTAAATTAACAACCATTTTCTTCCGAGATTTATATATTTTACATGAAAATGTCTTTTTAAACGTACTGAATTCTGTTCGCTTTCAAAGCAATTCGAGATGGTTATCGTTGTGTTGCAAAAAGTGATTTCTCTTGGAAATATCTATACTTTGAAATATGCTCTCGGATTTACATATATAGATTAAGTAATTAGTAAAAGATCGCCTGCAAAACTTAACTTTATTATCTTGAAGTGTTCTTTTGATTATTAAATTTTTCTGACTCTTAACTTGACATTATAACCAAAATATTTCTATTTATATGATGACACTACAAAAAAAAATGTTAAAATGTCCCCCAGGATCAATAAAAAATCAAAAATTGGTAATAAAACTTACCATTTTACAATTCAACTTATCAATTTTAACCATGGTATAAATATAGTCTCTTTCTCTCTCTCTCTCTCTCTCTCTCTCTCTCTCTCTATATATATATATATATATATATATATATATATATACATATTTGTATATCTACATATTTGTATATCTTAAACCCCTCAGATATTTGTCAACGGTGCAATACGTGCTGAATGGTTTTCTGAACTCGCAAGGTCTGCCTAAAAGCACCCATTTCAATATGAAGAAACCAGAAGAATCTATCACAGTACTTAGCAATTACGTCGCGAGGAAATACCTCGACGTAGATACTGACGTATCTGGCTACGTGAAACCAGCCGTAGATTACTTGAAGGTAGAACGTAACATACAATATGAGATCTAAGATTTTCACCAGTATTCATTTAAATGAAACTAATATTTTAGGATTTAATCTCGTCTGCCCGTGATCACGGTATCTGTAAAGTAACCGAAACGTCGGCAGTATGTAGTTTATAGTCTAAAAACCGCTTTAAAAATCCGAAAATATTAGTTTCAACTTTCAAGTAACATACATTTTCAACCATATTAATAATAAATTATATTTTACTATATTATAATTATACTAGCTTTCCGCCCGCAGCTTCGCCCACGTGGAGTTCGGTTATAGCGCGTTTCCAAGAGAACCTTTCAAAAGTCTCTGTACCAAATTTCACTAAAATCAGTTTCGTGGTTTAGGCGTGAAAGCGTAACAGACAGACAGACAGAGTTACTTTCGCATTTATAATATTAGTAGGGATTATATTATACAAAAAAATCATTTTAATTTACAGCAAACATTGAAAATGGCGCAAACGGCGTCTGAATCTTTGGCGTCACGAGATTACAGCGCGTTGGCGGAGAGATTAACGGATACATTGAACATGGACGTGATAGAACCAGTACTAAGAGTGTACCGAGCATACACGCACGCGAGGACTAATGTACACTGTCAAGAACATCTCATGTGTCTTGTTAATAGACAAGTGAAGCATGGTGAGTGGACATGTATATATATATGCAATATCGTAAATATATCACATGTCACACATATAATAGATTTCATTTAAAATTTACCAAAAGCTGATAAAATAATAATACGTAAATAATGCATGTCATAAAGTCTTTCTCAAATTAGATTTCAAAGTTACTGAGATAAGAGAACACAAACATACATACATCCGCTTAAATATTTACGAATTTTGAACACTATGTATGTATATATGAAATAAAAAGTACTCATTACAAACTAAAAATACAGAACGCTTTTATATGAGCGGGTAATTTTTTGCCACAAGTTCGTATCACATTTGACATAAAATACAAAGCATTTTTATAGGAGTACAATTAATATCTTGCCCTCAACGCGCTAGTGGTAATTCTTTATTATTTGTAACAAATTATCACCTATCACCTAATTAATTATATTAATACGTGATTATAATTATCATTAAATACATTATCTCCAAATACTAAAAGATTAAAAGTATCATATATGAACTTTGATCTTGTATGTATGTTAAATAAATTATATGACTAGCCAAACAGACACTGAAAATATAACTTATTTGTTGTTTCAATGGATAATAAAAAAAAAAACATTTAATATTAATAAGAAAATGTTTTTAAGAAAAATTTATTGACATATAAAGTTAATCTTTAAATAATTCTCCATAGTAAATTTCTTGACTACATCTATTTCACGTTAAATTTAAAGTAATTTATTTGTAATTATAACAAGAAATCTAATTAAAAAAATAGTTGGGTTTTATAAAAAAAACATATATATTTTTAATCTACTTCCTTATCTCGGATTTGCTGGAGATATTTTTTTATTATCGTCTTGATAATAATTATCTATCGGTTAGGAAATAATTATTGATAACAATAATGATTTGTACAATTTATAACTGTAGAACGGCTGTACGAGTTTGGCTGAAAATTAGTGGAGAAATAGTTTAAAACCAGTGGTAGGACATAAGATACTTTTCATCCAATAGAAAAAGAAAATAAAAATAAGTTGATCAAATCCAAAACTTTCTTATCTACTGTCTTTAATGAGGAATAGAGTTCCCCCGGTCAGCTATACATTTCTAATTCTAAAACTAACGCAGACGAAGTCGCGAACAAAATCTAGTTACTTATAAAGAAATTGAAAATTATAATTTTGCAAAAAAAAAATACTAACTACCCTAAAAAATATATTTTGCAAAAAATTATTTATTTATTTCTACAATTTTTACAAATACCATAGATAACATGAACCGTAATTTCAAATGAAGGTTACAAAAACGCTTTGGGTTTCGGAACAGCTACGAATTTCTCATCTCATTCTATCCAAGGATTATATAAATATCTTTAAATAAGAATTCTGCTATGTCTTGATACAGAAGAATTAAATTGACATTACGTAGCAAAAATATTTTCCGTCATGACATCATCCAAATTCAAAAGAAAATTATCATAAGGCTTTTAAATTTAATTTTTATATCCAAAAACACACATGAATTCTTATACAGACAGAGGAATACTTCAAAAGATTGCTTTCGTAACAGTAGACAAGGAAGTACCTATTGAGAATGCCAAAACTTTCAAAACAATTTCTTCGGTAGTTGGAATGAAAAATCTGTTACAATTTTCAAGGTCAAAGTCGCTGGCTAAAGGGGTCAAAAAAAAGTTAAAAAGTGGCCAAAAAATAACTGTATTCAGACAATTAATTAGTTTTAATCAGAACAGAATTCTGGATTATAATCGCAAAGAAAATAACAGCAACACAGTGGCTGCACCTTGCAATATAAAGTAGCATTTATATGAGGCGAAAATGGAATGCTACTGAAACAAAACCACTCACCATTCTATGTAATAACAAGCCTATGATACTCAAATAGTGCACAACACACACAATGCTACTGAGACGAAATTGCACACACATGAATGAAATTTTCACTTAGTATGTATAATATTAATAATTTCATATTATAAAATTTAGGTGGTCCAGGCTTCAAGGCGGGTCTTACTAAGATAAGTAGTCTAGCTGCCTGCGCCGCTCTCAGCTTTGAAAGTGGCAGAGGTTTCTGGGATTTATACAACGCTGTGCAAGCAGATGTTGATTGTGAGGTTAGTAACTTAAAAGGATTTTAAATTCTTAAGCTTAGCTTATACACTACAAATTGAAGTCTTAAGCATGTTCTTATGAATGTTTGAATAAAGTTAAATAGTCAGTTAAAGACTGTTGTAATTTTTTTTTAAATCTTTCAAACAATAGAGTGATTATTTGGATAGGTTAAATTTAAGTTAAAACAATTCCTTATAGTTAAACAAAATTCACATATAATATATCTAGTATATAAAGGTTGAAAATATCTTCATATACCTACCTATCTATGAAGAAATATTATAATTTCAGATTAGACCACAATAGTAAACTATTTATGGTAAAGATATTTTTATATCACGTGATTCCATAGACAATTCTTTTAACATTTATATTTTTTTTTACAGGCCAAGTATCCCGCTGACTGTTCATCATTCCATGAACATGAACTAAAAGTTACAACAGAAGTCTACCACAGTGAATTATAAATTATTATAATTAAAATTACATATAAAAAAATTTGCAATTCAGTAATGTATTAAAAATTTAAATTTAAATTAAATTTCCTAATAATTATTTTAATATATAAGTTTTAATGTACTTAAATTATTTTTAATATCTAGGTATATTAAGTATCGACTGATATAATATTTTTGCTGATTTGGTGCTAAAATTAAATAAATTTTATTTTATTATAATAAAATCACTATTTTTATGTACATTTCAATGATAATATTGTAAATATAAATGTACTTAATATCAATTATTGCATTTTATAAGTTATAAGTTTAAAAACAAGACATTCCAATATAATTTTCATTTAAATATTATGATAGTATGAAAAATAAAACATTGTCATTTACAAGCTCTTTATTTTCAAAGCCTATTTATATGGAAGATAAGTCTTGATATGCTAAAAGCTGTGTCATTTTAATAAAATTATTTAATCTTAAGTGTTTTCATTAAAAATAATATTTAGTGACATCTATTAAATATTCTTTAAATATGAATGACTAATATATTTTCTTAACTTGTAATCATGAATTATTAATAATAAAGTGACTACATAAAATGTGAAGATATTTATGCTTTTCATTATTCAAGCTAATAGTCTTAATGTGGACGGAAAATTATTGCTTCCTTTTATTATTAAAAACAATAAAACATTATATAAAATAAAATTAAATCACAAAGAAATACTTGAACATTAAAATCATTGTACAATATTAGAGTAAGCAATTATATTATTATTCGCTTTACTAAAAAAATATTATTTCTTCACTGGGATGTTCTTACAGACCCATTCCATGCCTTCCTGAAAAAGAAACGAATGACGTTAATTAATTAATAAATCTTAAAAGAAGTTGTGGTGGCTTAGTGCCTAGTCAAGTACAAATGTGATTTTTCCAAGTCATATGTACTTTTTAACAATATTTAGACACGACTGACTGATGATGGAAAACATTGTGAGAAACACTGGACTTATAATTTCATAACTATAAGTTTTTAATCACCAACCCATCTTGGGCAAGTGTGGTGATAAATATTCAAATCTCCATGTGAGAAAAGGCCTTTACTCAGCAGTGGGCTCTGATAGGCTGATGATGATGAATACAGAATACTTAATATCACACATTATGTTTGGCATACAATTATCATATACATAGAATACCTTTACACCAGTTCCATCAGTCGCAACACAGGCCTGTATCTGCCAAGTACGATCCCTTATGAGATGCAGCCCTAAATGTGTAGCTACATCACTCGCTGGCAATGCTAGAGATACAAATACAATTAAACCAGAATAAAACACTTAAAGTTAAACATTCTCTTATAATAAATAATTTAATACAGAATAGATAATGGCTATTATTATATTTTACTTTGTGAAATCTATTAGAGGTATTTAAATATATTTTATTTATTGTTAATTGTGGTAATGTTATTAATATAGGTATTAAATACTTATAAAACAATAATAAATCCATTTCTATTTTACCTGTAGCTAAATCCTGCTTATTAGCATAAACCAGAAGTGGTACTCCTCTTAACTTGTCATCTTGCAACAATTCAGCCAATTCCTGGCTGGTTTCTTCCAATCGAACATGATCAGAACAATCTACCACATATATCTAAAAAAGCAATGATACTTTAATTATTTTTAACTTTAAAATTTCTATATTTTAATTTATAGTACATACTTATTTTAAGGATAATATAATTTAACAATAAAAATAACAGTACATATAATTTTCATTTCATAATAATGAATTTTTTTCAGTCGTAATTGATTTCGAATGACCTACCAAAATATCAGTATTCTCAAAATAATTCCTCCAATACGGTCGTATTTTTCTTTGTCCACCAATATCCCATACATTTAGTTTAAAGCCATTAGATAAAACAGATTTTATATTAAATCCTGCTGTCGGGGTCACATGCGACACGTCCTCAGATGCCAATTGTCTTAAGAGAGTCGTTTTACCAGCATTATCCAAGCCTAACAGTAGAAGACGCAATTCTTTATCTGGATGCGAACGTAGTTTCTTCAATATACTTAAAAGGCCCTAAAAACACACTTATTGTATATTCATACTTATTGTATATTTATACTTATTGTATATTCATCGAAACTGTAAAGCTGTGAAATAAAATTTAGCATTAAATTTATAGTAGTGGATTTCTAAGTATTCACTTACCATATTAAGTTTAGTTAATCACAACTGTTTCAGACACTTATGTAAGAAAGCAATTTTTTAATAACTAAGCGCTATATAACATAATTTAATATTAATAGTAGTAATTATCAGCTCAAAGGTAATTCAAACTTCGTGACAGACTTTTGTTGATCCACAACGTTACCATGGAAACAGTAACGATTAAGTTTCAGGTTACATCTTTATTAATATCTTTAATTATGAATACATTAAAAGAATAACACAATAAAAAGAATATACGTAAGTTTTCAATAGAGACATATCGAAAAATCATACATGAAAATCAAAACTCAAAAACAAATTTAATTACTCACGGTATTTAGTCTAGTACGATTATCAGATTTTTTGTCAAAATTTACAACTGTCACAAAACTAAATATTGAACGTCAATTCCGAGTTGTTTAGCTTTGTTTCTGTTCGCACGTGGGTCTTAAAGAATTATACTTTAACTCTATTATTTTACATAATAAAAAGAAATACAAAATGGGAAAAGTAAAACAAGAACCAGTGGAACAGGAAGAAGCAGGAGACGTAAGCATCAAAACTGAGCCACAAAGTTACGATGAGAAAGTCGAACACTGCAGTGTTATAGCTAAGCCGATGGCGTCAAAGAAACTTAGTAAAAAGATTTACAAACTCATAAAGAAATCCAGTAGTCATAAGAATTATATAAGAAATGGGTTAAAAATCGTCCAGAAACAATTGCGTCTTGGAGAAAAAGGGTAAGTTTGTTTTGAGGTTATGAAAACATTGCGATCAGTATTTATCGAGTTGAATAATAACCTATTAACTGTTATTATGAGATATTTAAAGAATGTTTTTCATGATCAGTAATCACACTATGTTTTGTTCAAGCCATAAATCTTATATATAAAATAACCATGTCACAATATTAGTTACCCTACTCCTCCGAAAAAGCGTTACCAAATTTTTTATTGTTACCAAATTTCATATATGTACATATTAGATCTGAGAATCGGCTTCTAAATATTTCATACCCCTAAGTGCTAAGGGTTGTTCACTCCAAAAAATATTTTTTTTTCTTTGGACGACATTTTTGATTTTTAATTCTTATAATGTGACATTAAAAAATACATACAACCCAAAATTTTTACATTTTTATAATCAACCCCTATTTTTTATATGGCAAAACAACTTTTGTTGTCAGCTAGTTACTTATATGAACCTTATTAAATATGTAATTATTTTTGCAGTATCGTGGTATTTGCTGGTGATATTTCGCCAATTGAGATCATGTGCCACTTGCCCGCTGTTTGTGAAGAGAAAGACGTCCCATACTGTTACACACCTAGCCGTAAGGACATTGGATCAGCCATGGGTACTATGAGAGGCTGCATTATGGTACTTGTAAAGGAACACGAAGAATACAAAGATTTATATGAAGAAGTGAAAAGCGAAATTAAATTACTTGGACATCCGTTATAGATTGTAAATAGATATATAAGGAATATTTCTTGTTTTATTTAACAAGCAAAAACTATTGTTATGAAATTTCATTTAAAATATAATACTTAATAATGATATTCATTAGATTAGAGAATACATTTAAATGATGTTACATTTAAATTCATTTATGTATAAAGATATCACTAATGTTTGTGATGAAAATGAAAAATGCATTTCAGTTACATATAATTTTATTACCATATTAAATCTAGGGTATGTAAAAAATGGCAGATTGTCTGACCGACAGTGAAGGTTGGCAAAATACATTAGGTAATTATTTAGCTAATCATTACTGACTAAATACCTAAGCATAGATATCAGTAGGTGTGCTTAACTATGCTACGAGCTATGGGTGATTCATTGAGGTTTTAAACCACTGATATCTAAACTTCTTAAATTACACTAATAATTGAAGCGATACTATTGACACAGAATCACAACCCCCATATATAAAAATCATACCAATCAAGGAAAATTACAGGACAATAAGTTTTTCTATAGTAAACATTCCGTTGGGGGTCACGAGTAGTACATTTCAGTGCGATGCCAATTTTATATAAGAAATTTTTATTCAATAAAGTGTAAGAAAATAGAAGATATTTTATTTAAGCCCTTATCAAAGTCTTATAGTGACGAAAGACAATTGCACATTATGAATTTTTGCAATATATATTGTATATCTAATAACTTCATATAAAATCAAAATAATAATAAAAAATCAAAATAATAATATTAGTAATATAATAATAGTAGTAATATACAATGAATAACTATGACCCATTTAGTTTGTAAAAAAAAAAAAAATAGTTTAATATAACAAACAAATAATTAATAGAATTTTACTCCAATTTGTATAAAACTTGTTTCGAAATATTAATATTAATTTTTGAAAGAAACCAATTTTTTTTAGTAGTTTTTAAAGACACCGTAATCTAATTATTTGATATGGCAACAAATTAAGGAAATGAGAAAAAATTATAAAATTATTACAAATCAATAATGTGCAACGCCATTTAATACATTTAGTAATTCTGACTTTTGTATTTGAAATTCTTATCGATAATTATGTATTCTATAACTATTTTAGTGTTGAAAATTTTGTGAGTTATAGTTTTAAACAGCGCTGTCGGTCGTGTGCTATTTTGTATACTTAATAAATAATTGAATAATTTTCTTATATGTAATACAATAAATTAATAAAATTAAAAGCAGTTTTATACTCGATTACTTAAACAAAATATATAATACTAATATGACACCTAAAATTAATTGCTTTACACTCTTGTGCGCAAGCTAAAACGAAAGGTTTCACATTTTAGTTATCACGCTTATACATAGAGCATTACACTTAATAAATAATAGTATGTATAATTAAATTAGTTCTTAAACATATGGTGCTATAAATAATTAGTGTTTTATATAAAATAATATTATTACAAAGCTGATCAACATTTACTTCAATTTCAACAATCAAATCACAAGCATTATCGTGTGTAACCGGCTTAAAATTTCTCAGTATTATTGTTTCCATTTTATCGACTTTCATACAATTTAATCTTTAAATCATAAAGAAAATATTGTTTGAAATAGAAGTACCTATATATCTTGTTTTATTTAGCCACTATTTTGACTACAATAATAATAAAAAACAGTTTGTTTTTTGTGTTTTAATATTAAGCCCGCTACACACGTTTCCTTTGTTATCCAATGGTCAAACCATACTTGATACTAATCACAGTTCAGATATTAACATATCACAGACTATGCACTACTTCGTCTAGCAACTCAATCATTACACTATTTACAAACAAACATACGGAATATACAAAATACATAGTATAAAATCGAATGTTCAAAACCTTATTATTCTAAGCATTACGACAATTAAGAATTATATTATTAATTATTCAGCGTTTTTCTTAATTATTGCCAGTTATAAGTGCAGTACACATAAATTTAATAATTTAAAACTCGTATGGCAACATTGCGATTTGGATTTGTGTAAATATAATCTGTATGGCGATAAAAGATTCATGTTTTTTAATGATTTGTTTGATTTTTCACTATGCTTGTTTAAAAACTAAATATCATATAAAAATACTTACGTCCATATTCTGCTTCATAATCATGTTTAAAATTCGAAACTATTAAACTCGTTTAAGGTACAAAAATATTCATATTTAAAAAAAATCTACACTAATTACAACACAGGATCTTTTAATGTGCAAATTATTTATAATAATAAGAAAAAAACTCAATAACACTACATTACATACTAAATTCTATAATTTAATGTCCATTCGACAATCATAGATAATAAAATAGCAACTAAATATTATTTTAAACACAATTTTTACGGGAAACTATTTTTAAAGAAAATTCACATAGATAGGTCCAAGATTGTGCCAAATAAAATGAACAAGGTAATAGCAATATCACTGTAAAAATCACAAAATATTCCAAATGTCTATTCAGGTGTAGATGTGAAACAGCACTAGTATGGTTAGTATCGTGCTCATGAAACACATCGACACTGGCAGGAGCACCGCTACACGAAGCGATCTGGAAATAATAAGGCAGACCCTGGTTAAAGCTGGGAAATTGCCAGGAAGAAGAAGAATATATTGTTTGATTTATATCATACAGGTATGAGTTTATGTATATATGATAATTGTCTCTACGTGTATGCATACAGTGTTTATGTCGATATACAGGGTGACTGGTGAATTACTATCGATACTTGAGGACGTGATATTTGACGATCATATATGACAAAATAAAAATTAATATATCATAAATATTAATAAACTTCTAAGTAAAGTTAACCCAAAGTTATGTAATTCATTACGCATCGTGTGAACACCCTACAGATTAGGTATACACACACACACACGCGCTCGTTTGGCGGGGGGGTGTAGCAGCACGCCGCCGCACGCGTCCACACTTGGAACACTTGGAACGTGTCCACACTTTATTTATTTATACGGAAATTTAGTCACCCTGTATATGTATGTGTATGCAACTGTAAGTGTCAAACATGTAAAGAGCCTGTGTGTGTGTGTGTGTGTGTGTGTGTGTGTGTGTGTGTTTGCCTGAGTGCGTGTGAGTGTTTATGTCAATACATATGTATGTGTGTGTGTGTGTGTGTGTGTGTGTGTGTGTGTGTGTGTGTGTGTGTGTGTGTGTGTGTGTGTGTGTGTGTGTGTGTGTGTGTGTGTGTGTGTGTGAGTACCTCCAGTAAGGCAGATGTCAGAGAGGCGGCTGCTGTGGCTCGGTGCGGCAGAGAGCGGTGCTGGCGTCAGGGCCGCTCTCACGACGAACTTTACCTGAAATATAATATTATAGTTTTAAATCTTCACTCACTTTTTGTTAAAGTCTAGAAAATGCGAGTCCAAACTAAATGTAATATTAATAAAATTACTGTATACAAATCATTTTTCAAAGTGTTATTCTAAGTAGTTGTTACTTTCCTCAAAAATATTGCTAGGCCCTTGTAGTCTGCAATAGTCTGTAAGCGGATATCTCCCCGAAAAAAAAAAGGCCCTTGTTCAATACCGCTATTAAAATTTTAAAACACGACTCTTTATTAGCACTTAGTATTCACATTTTTATCACCAAAAACTTCGTTATTTTAAATAAGTTGAACGAACTAGTATCAGCTAGTATTTAAAACATAATTACTGATATTTGGCTAAATAAGGGAAATAATATGTTACTCACTAGAAAAGCATAAACATCCAGTTTGTTGATTCGCTTGTAAGGTAGTTGGTCTAAGATCCTTCAATTCTTTTGACTGCTCCGCGACGCACTTCTGATAGTAGTCGAATTCTTTGACATACCTATAAATAGATAGATCCAAATAAAGTAGATAGCATGAAAATACTGTGACAAAAAAAATGGTATTTCATGATCAAATTAAGTACTATTTTCTTGTGTGCAATATATATTATCAAATTGAACGTTCCAAAAAGAAATATATTACAATTCATGATGAAATTACGTATTATTTTTCTATATTCATACCAAACAGGCGGCCAGCGGTTATCAGCTAGATATTCTCTTGATGATAAACTGAGATGTTTGGCGCGACAGACTCGGTCATAGGCACCACACAGACGCCAAGTACACCACTCGGACAGATTGTGAGCGTTGTGTAACTGTATATAAACATTATATATCTTTATATATATAAAAATTTCGCATCACGTGTTTGTCCGCGATGGACTCCTAAACTACTAAACCGATTTTAAATTTGATTTGCATTCCGTGTGCATTTTGATCCAATTTGAAAGATAGAATAGCTTATACAGGGTGACTGGTGAATTACTATCGATATTTGAGGACGTGATATTTGACGATCATATATGACGAAATAAAAATTAATATAACATAAATATTAATAAACTTCTAAGTAAAGTTAACCAAAAGTTGTGTAATTAATTACGCATCGTATGAACACCCTACAGATTACTCTACACTACACACTCACACATACGCGCGCGGCGGCGTGTTGTTGTATCAGCACGCCGCCGCACGCGTCCACACTAGGAACACTTGGAACGTGTACACACTTTATTTATTTATACGGAAATTTGGTCAAAAATTAAGTACCTATTTTTTTTACATAATTCGAATGAGAATCATGTACCGAGTATGCTCCTTAAATATTGATAGTAATTCACCAGTCACCCTGTATATTAATTTATAGTCACTATATTCTTTTTTTTTTTCAAATTATATGTCTATTAAAGAAAATTATTTGTCATTTTTACAAATAGATTTTTCTCATCAAACAAGAAGATTAATATGAGTATAAAAAAATAACTTTGCATATATAGAAAATGTTATAATCAAATAACTTAAAAACCTTAATTGTATATTATAAATGAATTTTACGAAAGTAATTATTACCTTAACAGGTTCCAACAATGATAACGCTATTTCCACTACTTGATCGTCTTCACCTAATCTGTGAAAAATATAAGAATTTTATCATTACATTGAAAATTACCATCACTTAATTCTACGATGTATCTCATACTGATTTTACTGATTCATAAATAAATCAATTATGAAGTCGGGGATAGTGCAAATTGGATAATTCCGCGTATATACATTGGAAGTAGATTGACAGGAGAAAGTTTAAGCTGAAATATTTTCTATCGGATTTGTACTATCCACGACGATATAAAATTACATATAATAGTAATTATTAGTATATTAATGGCAATTAATGTATATAAAGTAATTCTTACCTATCTTGATGCTGCAATTGATCTATAACTCTCGCCTCCACTAAACTCACGAGTCTATTCATACAGAGTCTATTCGCTAGTTCCAGTAGTTCTAAACTCCGTGTAGGTTCAACAATAGGAATCTTATCTGAATATATATAACACAGCAGTATATGGAACGCGTACATTCTCACACCTGGAAAAGATATCTGAAAAAATATATAATTAATGAAAGAAAATTAAAAATTGGACATGTATATCATGTAAATTGATTAGTTATAAATACTATCGTAATATTTTGTATATATTTTTTTATATTTTACAAATAAAAAGAGCTATTTTTCAATGTAAACTAGAAATAATAAATGGATACATATTTCTGAATAGATCGAAAAATAGCAAAGGCTTAGTCTCCGGAGAAATATATTTAATTAAAATAAAAAAAAATCAATTAGGACCTATATGTCATGTAAATATATTAGTTTTAAATACTTTCGTAATATTTAGTATTTCTTCAAATACTTTGTCTCACAAGGACAACTTAAACTAGAAATCAGCAATAATAAATCAATACCTATTTCTGTATAGATCGACAAATAGCAAAGGCCTAGTCTCCTAAGAAATATATTTAATTGAAGAAAGAAAAAAATTGCCCAATAATCTAAATAGATTAGTTTTAAACACTTTCGTAATATTAAGTATTTCTTCAAATAGTTCTTCTCACAAGGACAAGTAGCTATTTTTAAATGTTAAACTAGAGGCAGCAATAATAAATCGATGTATATTTCTGCATACAACGACAAAATAGTGAGAATTTAGTCTCCAAACAAATAAATCGATCATCGGTCCTAAAATTTCATTCACTTACAACTCTAGACGTGCTTTCTCTGAAATGTCCTTGAAACATCGCCTTCATGGGGTCACAGCGAGCCATTAGCATCGCCTATGAGCCAGATGAATTCCATCGTCGAGGTCAAAGGTCACGTCCGCAAACAAATTCTGCTCCACACACATATCACGCATTCTTTGAGGCAGCGGCTGAAAAATTTGATGATCCAACAATTATTGCACTTAGAATGATCCAATATCTCAAATTACATAGATTTCTATTGAAGTTTTTCTTCAATTTTCAAGATAAGGAAGTTTCAACAAGAATTGTAACTAAGACGTTCTATTTAGCAAAAAAATATTTCTATAGTTGAATGAAAAACATTATTTAATTGAAACTAATATTTTTCGTATGTACTACCGTTACTGTAAAGTAACCGAAACGTCGTCAGTATGTAGTTTATAAACAAAAATAAAAATCGCGTAGTAAATCCGAAAAATATTAGTTTCCTTTAAAAGAATACTCGCGAAAATCTTAGATCTCAACATTACTTAAAGATTCAATTAAGAGAAAAGGATATACTAGTATACAAATTACTAGTTTTCCGCCCGCAGCTTCGCCCGCGTGGAGTTCGGTTATATCGCGTTTCCAAGAGAACCTTTCAAAAGTCTAGTGATAAAAACTATCCTATGTTCTTTCTCAAGGTCAACTCTGTCTGTACCAAATTTCATTAAAATCAGTTCAGTGGTTTAGGCGTGAAAGTGTAACAGACAGACAGACTGAGTTACTTTCGCATTTTATAATCTTAGCAAGGATACTCAATATTTTAACAAGTATAGCCAAAGTACCGTATGAAACTGATGCATGAAAGTCTTATCCATCAGCAGATGTTGATCCAAAATAAATTGGCTGAGTTTCGTCAATTCATGGAAGCCAAGTAGTTCAGCAGCTTGACGGATTTCCTATTATAAATAGCATAATACTTAATAATATTAACAAATATACTACTTTTGAGAACAAAACACACTTAAAATCGATACAAACGCAGTTCATCAGTAATAAAGTATTAAAAATAATAATTACCTAACAATAATTAAAATTAATAATATCCAAAACTTATCAATGTAATGAGTTGATACATATGCGCGTGCTAATAAAAAGAATATAAAAAATATAATAAGTATTAAAATCCGAAAAGTGCAATGAAATTTGAAAGCTGTAGTGTAGAAGTACCTTTATAAACTTTAATCCAATGTCGCTAACCTAAATACAATATTAAATGTATTATTATATATAATAAATAAATAATAATAATGAGAAAAATTAATCATGATTGATGTTATTAATTATAATTAAAATTACCAGTAGTAATCCGATAGCAGCGGACTGCAGAAGACAGTATTCATTTATTATATTATTTAACATTAATATTGATAAAAAAAACTCATTATATATAGCAATAGCGGATATAAGAGATTAAAAAAACGAATACTGCAAGAAGATTATTTAAATTACTAATAAAAGCTGAGCATCGTACGTACAGCGATTAAGAATTGTGTCACAGTTACCAAAATAGCGTCACAATTGTGTCACAGTTTCCGAAATGGCGTCACAATTGTGTCACAGTTTCCAAAATGGCGTATAGACACATCAAACGTCAAAATGGCTGTACATCAAAAACTCAAGGCCACAAGAAGCCAACGAAAAATGCACCATATTATAAGTAAATAAAGTTCAACTCACCTGTTGTTTGAAAGCCCCGCTGTCTATCACGCCGGTGTATACGAAATTTATGATCTCTTGCATTACGTTCTGTGATATTAGTTTGCTCATTGTAACTATAGTCTGTGTTTGGGACGACGCGTGTTGGATTTTGTCACACTACAAATAATATTTTCTAATGTAAGTTATTATATAATTTCTATCAATATATATTTAGCATTTTTTGTTTTAATTTACTACTATCTTTCTGGCCGCAGCTTCGCCCGCGTGGAGTTCGGTTGTATCGCGTTTCCAAGAGAACCTTTCAAAAGTCTGGGATAAAAACTATCCTATAATCTTTCTCAAGGTCAACTCTACCAGGTACCAAATTTCATTAAAATCAGTTCAGTGTTTTAGGCGTGAAAGCGTAATAGACAGACAGACAGAGCTACTTTCGCATTTATAATATTAGTAGGGATGAAATTTTATTTACTATGTTTTTTTTACTATGAAATTATATTTTTGTTCATTCATTAATTATTTCCTCCTCATTGCATATGTTTATAAATAATTTGAGAACAAATACAGAATTTATTTTAAACTAACCTTTACAACACGTATTGATATAATGGCCGGGTGATTGACCTCTCTGAATAAATCCGGGGGTTTCTTACAGTTGTCACTCAAAGGTAGGATTTGGCATGACGACCGACGTTTGATTTGATCCCATACTCTATAATAAAAATAAATAAATAAATAGTAACTCCCTCAGCACGAAAGAAGTAAATCTTTATGTGAAAAAGAAAATATCTATATGTATATCAAAACCAAACTAAATATATAATAAATAAATTCAATATACATTTGCCGACGATCACACTGTTTACTTCGCTGCATAGCAACAATACTATGCGCATGTGCTTGGTATCTACCGATTCACTCTATCTCTTTCATACTTTCTACATTTGCCTATCTTTCTTTCTCTCTCCCTCACCGTAAAACGTTTAACACAACCTTGTAAGAAGCTTCACTTTGAATACTCCCTTATACAGGGTGACTGGTGAATTACTATCGATATTTGAGGACGTGATATTTGACGATCATATATGACGAAATAAAAATTAATATAACATAAATATTAATAAACTTCTAAGTAAAGTTAACCAAAAGTTGTGTAATTAATTACGCATCGTATGAACACCCTACAGATTACACTACACACTCACACATACGCGCGCGGCGGCGTGTTGTTGTATCAGCACGCCGCCGCACGCGTCCACACTAGGAACACTTGGAACGTGTACACACTTTATTTATTTATACGGAAATTTGGTCAAAAATTAAGTACCTATTTTTTTTACATAATTCGAATGAGAATCATGTGCCGAGTATGCTCCTTAAATATTGATAGTAATTCACCAGTCACCCTGTATAATTAATCTTTAACAATGTACGTAAATAAATTCACACTAAAATAAATCTAAGAATTATTCAACTCAAAACACATAAATCCAAACCAGTGATTACTTTGACAGTATTTGAAAAAATATACCAACGACAATGTCAAATTGACATTTGTTTTAAATGACATTTAAACTGTCATAGAACAGTATGATACCAAATATTATGACAGATTATTATGAATAATTTTGTATTATATTCAAACTCACCTCATTTGTTTAGCTTGATCTTGTCGTATCAAATATTCCGTGTCCTCATTGAATTCACCCGTAGTAGCCTCGCCCATACTGCTAACCTTTAATTTAATATTAACTTTATAACTTAGGGTCATTGAAGTTAAAATAACTCAAAAATAATGTTATTATACTGAAAAAGTAAGGTAGACTCTTAAAACAAAGAACTTGACAAAACAAGCCTTTTCTTTTTAAGAGAAATAATATGTTAGGAATAAATTAAAATTTCTCATTGTAATGTTTTGATATTGGACAACGAATGATGAATGAGAACTGTGAATCAATACTAAGAAAGAGCTTTGTACTGGTAGCAAAATCAAATGTTGAAAACGCAATGTCAAGTGAAGAAGAACTTGTTTTTGAAATTTTTTTATTAATTAATATTTTTTTTCCATAATATTCATAATATTTCCATCTGGACTTTTACAACTTTTGCTTATTTTATAGCACTTATGTTATGTATCTATTTAACATATAATAAAGGTGAATTCTAAAAGTTTTTTGTCTTACGCTACTTTTACTTCCACTCACACAAATGCAAAGCTCAGCTTAAGTCTAACGGACTATACTTCTTACCATACTGCTTTCACTTGAGCTTCTAGCTAGTTCAGCTGATAAACTAACACAATCAGTTGTGAGTAGTCTATGGAATGCTTCACATGCGGCAGCCATTACGAAGCGATGTACGGGGAATCCCTTAGCGCCACATATGATTACCATATCGGAGAAATACTGGAAAAAAAGTTATATTATGTGTACGTACAGAATAAATGCATTATTCAGTGAAAGTAGTATTCATTATGTAAAATATTAACAATTTTAAGCCTCTAAATAAAACAGATAGGGTTACTTAATTATTTGTTCAAGTGTGAATGAGATTTTATGTTATCCGATTGAAAAATATAGGTAGCAATTGTATTGTATTGTCAATAATAATAACACTATCGGGTACCAAATTGTGCAGTTATTTTTATTCCGAAAAATACACATGCAAGCTTAGGCTAGCATTTAATGTGTATTAAATTTAATGTATATGAGAAACATCGCAATTTTCTTGAAATATGTGCATAAAAACTACATATTAATTTATAATCAATGCATTAATTCTAAAAATGGTAGTAATGATTTCAAAATCTAAAAAGTAAATGTGGCATATAAAAAGACCTTGAGGAACACCGATCATAAATAAATTTTCACTTTGAAATCGATTTGTAATTACTGTGCATATTGTAATGTTCATTAAATATATATTACATACATTTACATACACGTGTAAACGTGCAAATTTTATTCCGTCAGTAATAATTTATGTAGACTCAATTAATCCAAAGCTTTTGACGTGAAAATCATAATAACTTAAAGAAAAGAAATCTTAGTTACTAGGTAGTGTGTAAAGTTAACTTAAGTACCCAAAAAATTCAAAGTACCCTCAAAAAATTTGTCACCCTTTTTGGTCTATTTCTATGAATTTCTAACAGTTAAATATTCAATTTGTATTTTTACTATAAGTTTATATCGCAAACCTACACACTGACAGTTTGCAGTATCCATTCATACCTACATTGATATTGTCACGTGGCAAGATCTATGACAGAAGAATTGAGAGGTAACCATACTAAGTTTTACCATATAAAGCTGTTAAAATACCTGTTGTCGTAGTAAAGTCGTCATATTTTCGAGGAACACACTATTAACGACCACAACTTCCGGTTCCAATGGCCGCGGAGGTCTGAAGGGGGCCTGCAATTAAAGAGGTCAAGGTACAAGAATTGCATTTACATGGAAACCAAATAGTAGTACAATTACATGCAAAAGGACAATTTAGTTTAATACTAGCTGCGCCCCGCGGTATTACCCGCGGATGTAAAGTAGCCTATGTGTTATTCCTGGACGTCAGCTTTCCGTATACATAATTTTATAAAAATCGGTTCAGCCGTTTGAGCGTGAAGAAGTAACAAACATACACAGACACACTCACAAACTTTCGCAATTATATTAGTAGGACATATTTTTTGCCAAGAGTTAATAAATTCTTATTAAGATTCCAGACAGCAAGTTTTTTCAGACGCTAGTAGAAAATAAAAATGAATAACATAATAATGAATAAATCAATCATCCCGCGAGTCAATAATAAATTGGGTTTAGTCTGATTTTGGACAGGTCCTAAAGATATTAAATTTCATGGCCTATAAAAGGAAAATTTTCTCTTATACCTGTAGTAGAGGTCGTTGAACTCGCTTCAAATTCGTCATCCAGAATCTTTGCTGTCTTCTCGCTATCAGCGCGGCCCTGATAGCGTTTTCGAATACTTCATTAACACCGTAGTACGTGAAAACTGAGGTTTCGTAATAATATATACCGAATTCATGGGCCAACGCTCTGCCTTGGTCTGGCATAACCAGATCGCTTTTCCTGGGTGCCCTAAAATATGAACAGAATTGCATATAAGGCATCAATTTAACTGAAAATATTAGGTTTATAAGAGCTTGGTTGCAATGATTGAAACTATTCATCTTAAAAATTAACGTGATTTAAAAAGTAGTTTGTATTTTGAACATTTTGACAACAAACTTATTTCAAATTTGTTTACATATCAGCCAAAAAAGACCAAATGTGATTTTATAAGAATCCTATCACTATGGCTAATTTTACAAGTTTGAGTCGAAATAGGGAAAAATATACTTTGTTCAAAAATTACATTTTATATAGTTTTCGTAAAGATACCCACTGACCAATGACAACTACGGTTAACGAGTATTCATTTAAATGAAACTAATATTTTTCGTATTACTAGGCGTATTAAAAATATTAGTTTCATTTATACCCACAACAGTTTAAAACTATTTTGTTAGGAAAAATGGCACTAAATTCAGACTACATTCCCATACCTTATAAACGGGCTTCTATCCTTGCAATAGTTTAAATAAGTCTCATCTCTGTACATGTAGCGGAGATCGTTCTTACAACCGACAAGCAGGATCGGCGTGTTTGGACAGAATCGCCTAAAACGGGAGAAAAATTTTACACAAATCTTCTACCATATAAACGAGGTGAATCAAAACTTACCTTATCTCTGGATACCACATGGCGCCGCAATTTCTTAGCGATATTGGATTTGTTATAGAGAAACATAATAAAACGACGTCAGATCTGCAAGAAATTATCGTATTGAAGAAAATTCTTGTTTAACGTTTCTTTATAAAGTAATAAATAAAACTGAATAGTCAGTTTGTAATTATAAATTAATAGGTTTACACTTAACGCATATGAAACTGTTTAAGATAGGTACTTTCGTCGAAACTTAAAATTAATAAATTCTGTCCTTCTTTTTGTTATTGTTAATCTTTAAAACAGTTACATCCAATTGACATTTGACGGCACATTCACTTCTAGGCAGATAATGTCAATATAAGTAATTTAGGCTACCATTACCCGACTTCAAAAAGAAAGAAATTCTAAATTGAACTTTGTTTGTTGCACTATTACTCGTACAATTGTAAATTTTTTTTCAAAGTATTTTGAATCGAAAGGACATTATCCTGAGGTAGGCAAAAGGTTTCTAAGTTGGCAAATCGAATATAACCTACGCGCCAAGCCGTTGTTAACAGTTAGTTGTTATTATACAGGGTGACTGGTGGATTACTATCGATATTTGAGGACGTGATATTTGACGATCATATATGACAAAATAAAAATTAATATAACATAAATATTAATAAACTTCTAAGTAAAGTTAACCAAAAGTTATGTAATTAATTACGCATCGTATGAACACCCTACAGATTAGGTATAAACACACACACACACACACTCGCGCATGGCGGCATGTTGTTGTATCAACACGCCGCCGCACGCGTCCACACTTGGAACGTGTACACACTTTATTTATTTATAAGGAAATTTGGTCAAAAATTAAGTACCTATTTTTTTTACATAATTCGAATGAGAATCATGTACCGAGTATGCTCCTTAAATATTGATAGTAATTCACCAGTCACCCTGTATAAGTGTCTGTATACATTATATTCATTTTTAAACACTAATACTGAAACTTTTATAAGTCTTTTTTAGTAGCCAGTTGAAGAAGACGACAAAAATAATAACAAAAAAGTTCCGCCCAGCTGTTATAAGGAAAAAAGGTGCAAAATAAGAAAAACACAAGAAGGGCTTCGTTTTTACAGAGATGATATAATTTTGACGATAGTTCACATAAGCAAAAGGAGAAAAAAATGCAATAAGAATCTCGATTGATAAACGAAAATAAAATTTACCCAAACACTTTTTCATTGAATAAAATTGCATTTCAAAATAGATGATAGTTAACTTGTGCTGTAACACTAATCCTAGCTAGAACGATAATCTTCTATTTTCGGATTTGTAACTTTTATAGAAACCTTACGAGCAAGAAAACTTACTATCCGTTTGATACATGACTGCATACATGATAATGAGTTAATAATCTTACCACAAGTAAGCTTCAAATTAAACTGACGGCAATGAGTTTTTGTTTCGTATATCCTCGAATACAATAGTAATAATGTACACTATTTTTGAGGCTAAAACCTCCTTACAATTTTATAGCTATAAGAAAATATATAATTTGCGAACTTAATCCTGATCTTATATGACCATAAATTAAAATAAAAATAATTTATCAAACTTCACATAAAATAGTGTACACATTCTTGTAAATATAAGATATTTGTTAGTGTTTTTAACTATAGAAAAGTAGTAAAATCATTGCATATAATTTCCGTCATTACACCTGTATCTAAATCTAGAAATAAATAAACAATAAATTAGATTAATCAACTCAATACCAGTCGATACGGCTTATTTGAGAGCTATCCTCAATTGGCTATCGTCAAGTATAACTCGACATCTTGCAACTGAAAATGATAGAGTTGGCAATCATAAATTAGAGGGCTCATTCACTTAAACAATGTGCCAAGGATATTGGACATAAGCGCATGCTTTGCGATGAAAATATGCACTCAATTAATCAACATAAGAAGCGTAAAATTGTTTTTTTTTCGACATGTAAAGAGGTTTTAATTTATTTAATCAACCTTCAAAACTTTTTTTCAAAATAGTATATAAAAAAGCGCGAAAATAAAAATCAAATGTTTGTTGAGTAATAACTGCATAAGCGTTTAGAATTATGACCGCCCTTAGTATTCTCATTAATGTATTACTTTTAATAGTAAATCCTTTGTGTTTTTAATATAATAATTTCCACAATATAAAAGAAATTCTATAGTCAAACGAAGTAAAGTCTTAAGCAGCGAACCTATAAGTTGACGACGTCTGCAAAATATGGCTATGTAAAACCGCTACTTGGTGTGCAACTATTATATCGATAGAAAGAAATCGATAGAGGTCAGCTCTATTAAGCGTCGTTTAAAAAATCGAATACAAATTTTTGATATCAGAAAAATTATAAAGACTAGTGAGATTCATATTTCAACTGACATATAATGTTTTTATCCATCAACAAGCCAAACAATTATGAATAGAGCTGAAAGAAATGAGATCACAGATTAAAAATGCGTCATACTTTTTCTGAAAAATATCCGCAGTAATACCATAAGACGAGGTACAATTTCATTAGACTGTGTCAAATAAATTGTCATACCTTCCGTAAGCAAATCTCCTGTCCTTTTCGTGATCGCCAAACGTGTCCCACAGTCTAAGCGAAACATTCACACCATCAACCACTTCCCACGATCGTTCTAATACCTATATAAAAAATATTTATAATGATTATAAAACAGGCACATTTCATTAAGATAATTGTCAAATTAGCTGTCATTCTTTTGAAATAAGGTAAAAGTGTAACAAGCCGCATTAATGAATTACTAGAACATTGAACTTATAATCCAAAAGAATGGGGTTCGAACCCGTTTGGTAAACTCTAATGTTTTTCTTATGACACTGTCAAAGCCTTGTAATTAATAATATTCGCCCATATAAAAAAAAAGACATGAGCAGTATATGCATATAAATTTCTCATATATATGTATAAGAACATAATATGACATAGTCTTATTAAATGTGTATTATATACCTACTAATATTATAAAGGCGAAAGTAACTCGGTCTGTCTGTCTGTTACGTTTTTACGCCTAAACCACTGAACTGATTTTGCTGAAATTTGGTACAGAGATAGAGTTGACCTTGAGAAAGAACATAGGATAGTTTTTATCCTAGTCTTTTGAAAGGTTCTCTTGGAAACTCTATATAACCGAAATCCACATGGGCGAAGCTGTGAGCGGAAAGCTAGTATTATATATATGAATAACATATTATACACCTACATCTTTGTAAATCCTATACTGGTCTATAGCCCAGACTGTCGGTACATGTGTAGTCATTAGTTGTGATAGTGACACATGTTTGTTGCATGCACGTGCACATATCAATCTGGTCTTCCCTACCGCTGTGTCTCCGACAACCACACATTTCACCAACTCCTGATGGGGCTGTTCGTTGTCCATCTATAAGTATGAAGAATGAATATCCTCAGTACTTTTTAGTATTAAATATAAACATTCTACAATTTTTCATCCATAAATGTTAACAATGATAGTATTAATAACAAGTTATGAATGAAAATCTTTAAATGTTGCATAAATATTTTGACAATTCATAATTGTTTAAAGGTTCATCCTCATCTGAAATATATTGCAATAAAAATTTCAAATTCAATATAGCAATAAATGAGATTTCAACGCAGATTATACAGAAAATTTAATTGTATAGTTTTTAGAAAATTTAGTAGTTATAATTTATATTATTTCTTACAGTGCACCAGATTTTCATCAGAGTTCTTTTATTGGTTTATAACTTAAAAACTTCTTAATTAACAAGTTCCAAATTGACAAGTATAATATATGCATTTAAAAACTATTTATTTATCTGAGTTAATTATTATATTTGCAAGGATTATATTATTATATATGCAAAGCATTATCCAAAAACTCTTGTCAGGAGTTTATAGTAATGTATAGCCATTAAATAATTAAGAAGCATTTTACATTAATGTGTGATAGATCTAAGAAGTCCCTTTTTATTAAATATTTATGGAAGCAAGAGTATTTCAATATCCATGAATTTTACTGTTTACCTACCTACATTTAAAATTATTGCTAACGAATATTAAAACAAAAATAAATCAAGAAACTTACACGACGATATACCTGTTTCAGGATACCAAAACATTTTGTCTTAAATTCTATTGCATTAAAAGAAATATTTCGAAATTCTATAGACTTTTAAAAAGTCGTTGTTTGAAGAAAACATGCACAAGACAATTGTCAAAATATAATTTTCAAAATCTGTCAAAAACAGCTACTGGTTCACACAAACTTGAATGGTGATAAAAATGCGTTCAAAAAAATAATTTTGGTAATTAGTTTAACGCAAGACAGTGAGATGTCAAAATTTTCAATACAATGATAATGCAATAATAAGAATTGCCATATTAAGTAATTAGTCTGTAAAGAAAAGCTATATGAATATATTTAATTTATATTTTTTAAAAAAATATATATACGCACTAAGTAATTATAGAATATATAAGATACATGATATTCACATTTATTGCAAAAAAAATCTTAATTCACTTACGATGCCTTTGTAAAATCCTTGTTGATTCACACACTTGAACTCAAATTGTTATGATCATCTAAACATGTTCACAATTTCAGTAATTTAAAAACGACGAGGTGTATCTATGTTTAACGGAACGGTATTATCATATTTTAAACAATAATGAAAATATTGCCGTATCCTAACCCGAATGCTCACAGAGTGAAGTTGATTTTGTAGCAATGCAGTGTTCTGCGCATGTTTTATGAATGAACAGCGTGCGCAGAGCCGCAGGCAGGCTGATTGAGCACATTTTAATTCTGCTATTGACAATATCCATTGAGTCATTGAACTTACAAAACGTTTTGTTTCAATGTCCTAACTTAATTTCTGCTCCTTCATATCACTTTTATTTAATGGTCAATACCCTTTCATAGTTCACATCGGCTCAATTTATTGTGCACCAGATGACATTCTCATTAACTTTATAGCTGCGTTCAATTTACTGCTTGCTATATGTACTAACTGGAAATGGATGTGGCTTGTATTTATATTCATCTGATTAGAATTTTAAATTGGATTTAAATAATGAATGCTTGCATTTCTAACAAATGTAGCGCCTGTAATTAAAAGAAAGCAATGTATACACCTATCCATTTTAAATAATTGTTATTCTTAACAATACACTAAACTTCATATTACTTTCAATCTCTAATAGTCTTATAATGATCTTATTACAGATAAGTTTCAATACAGTCGATTAAATAAAACTATTTTTCATTACAAACTTAATTGAAAAAAAATAGTACGGCACCTTTACTAGTTATTAAGATTATACTATAAGGAAACAGAATATTATGTTTTCAATATTTGTGTATGTTTCAAATGTTGGTACATAGCAAACTGGTTGAAAATAATTCGTCTTATTATAAAAGTAAAACCTTTAGATGTCAAAGATACCATAAACATCGATATGGGTATACAATAAAAAGGTTGTCATTTATTTTGAATAAGATATGATGCCCGAGAAGAAAGATTAGCAATATAAAGAAGATAAAATGGCTTACTTTACTTCTCTTTGGCAATCAAGGATCATAGAAAGCCATAGACTAGAATATGAGAATGAAAAAGTTTAGTTCTCTATTAATATCTAACACAGAAATCCCCCGTAAAACGGTTATGCAAAGATGGCGTCTTTACGGTCATCATACGAAACGTCGTATGACAGGAAGATTGAAAAAATGGTTTCCAAAAGGTTCTTCCGTATCTAATCTATATTATTACTTGAAAACGGATCAGACGTTTCCTAATTTCGTGCTTAAAAGCATAATTGGGTTTCTCGGCGGCATTGTGCTTACATATCTCTGCTTTATGTTCTTTGTGTTCCAATTGTCAATATCTTTGATACACGCCACTATCATGAGTTCTATTGTTGGCGTTTTACTAACACTGGGCTTGGCGTTCAGTTACAGAATAAGGTTACGTATGTTTTAGTCATTGTTTATGATTGAAGCGTTCTAGTAAATAAATTATAACTTTTATTCTAACTACTTAATTGGCAATATTTAAACATTTAAAAAATATCCCTCTCTAACTACTTTCTAGCGCATAATCATTTATGTATTATCTATCTAAATGTGTATCAACTGACTTGTTTTTGAACTTAAATTTATGTATAATTAAAAAACGAGCAATATTTATGAAACAACAGATCTAATAAAAGATAATATGAAAACTAACAACTATAATCCGTTTTAAATAGAACTAAAATTTTCGGGTTTACCGTAATCGTGTTCCTGCAAAACATCGGGAGTATGAAATTTAAAATGATTAAAAAAGCGTAGTGAATCCGTCAATATTAGTTTTATTTAAATGAATACATTTCATACGGCTTTTTAAATCAAAAGTGCGTTAACATTACGTTAGAAAAATCATTGAATTGTCAAAAATATATTACATATACCTATAATAGCTTTTAAGGTTTTTGAATTCTCACCAAGTAATATTTTATTACAGATGTCTAGTATTTCTTCTTATACCGCAATTCTTTTCTCGAGTTGGCCGCTACACTCTTACTTGCTACGCCCTTATTCTTATATTGACAGGACCAGCGACTAATACATTGAGGAACTTTGAAGTGCTCTCAGAATCAATGGCTTGTAGTCAGGTACGTTAAAAAAACAATTATGTACTAATATAGGGTCGCAATCATTTTCCCAAAGAGGGTTGATGTCAGGCAGGCGGCCGGTCGTAAAAACAATTAGTCAAAACTATTCACAACATGTAAAGCAGACCCTGGCTAAAGCTGGGAAATTGTCAAGTAGAAGAAGATAGGGTCGCAATCAGAGGTTTCAGGAAAAGTACAAAACTTACTTATATGTATATACAGGGTGACTGGTGAATTACTATCGATACTAGAAGACGTGATATTTGACGATCATATATGACAAAATAAAAATTAATATAACATAAATATTAATAAACTTCTAAGTTAACCAAAAGTTATGTAATTAATTACGCATCGTGTGAACACCCTACAGATTAGGTATACACACACACACACGCGTGCGGCGGCGTGGTTTTGTATCAGCACGCCGCCGCACGCGTCCACACTTGGAACACTTGGAACGTGTCCACACTTTATCTATTTATACGGAAATTTGGTCAAAAATTAAGTACCTATTTTTTTTACATAATTCGAATGAGAATCATGTACCGAGTATTCCCCTTAAATATTGATAGTAATTCACCAGTCATTCGTATAATGAGAATTACATGTTAAAACTTATAACCTATACCTAAGACTACATGAATTGTCCCGATGTTAGGATAACAATACCATTCCATAGCTTGTGTGTATCAGTAATCTTCTGGTTCACACGGCTTGGTGTTCGTACCGCGGAGTCAGCAGCGTCACTTGTTATATGATATTTTATCAATACAACGATGTTGCCCCGGAAATGTTCATGTATTTTTCAATATGTTGCGCGTACGTAACATTCTTACTTTTCCATTATATACAATTATTCATATTTTTAATTACCAAAGTATAAGAATGAAAAAAATTATTAACATTTTATTCAACTTCGATCGGCCATTTTGATTTTCTTAACGGTTATCTGATTTGAATAAAACATTTGTTCTATGACTGGCTTTTGGTTGAGTTTAAAAAGAATGTATTGTACTTTGTGATGCATAAAAATTTGTGAACAATTAGGAGGAACAAATTACTGAACTTTCTATATATTTTCTAGTAGGTAATATAATATTATAACTATTAGGACACAGTAAGGTCTGCATGTAAATGCTGAAAAATAGCCCAAAAGCTAGTATAACATGAATCATGAAATATTCTGATTACGTAATCACGGGACCAAACCTACATTAAAATAACTTTATATTAAAATTATAATAAAAAAACGGATTTATTAAGTCAAAGATTACTCTGTATGTATTGAATATAATCTGCCGCCATCTTTAATATGGATCGTTGGCATTATGCATGTCAAATAACTATACAGGAATAATTACGTCGTGAAAATAAAACGTAATATGCATAAATGTTCCTTCCGTGCCATTAAGTTTTGAGCCAGGGGTTTTTATGCATAATGTAGGCAATGAATAATGGCAGCTATAATTTCTTTTTTTTCTTTTATATGTTATATACGTATTGTATTTATTAAAACCTTTTTGGTTGTTTAATTATCATTATTATTTTCAATCTATTATTGTGAAACTTTTTTTAGGGTAGAATACAATTTCTGTTTAAGTATGCCATTAAATTTCAGCAGTAAAATTGTTTAGTTTTATGTTATCAGAACAGTTATCTTGAAAGAGTAACATTTAAAGTTTCTTTTGAATAAACATGTGGTTATTTTAATTAATTCCTCAGTTAGTAATTTCATAA